TGTTGCTGCTCATTGCAGTGGTAACTTGGGACTTGCTGCATTGCTGATGATCATACTGGCAGTGCATGTTTGGATGGAAAATGCCCCCCTTCAAGAAATCACTTACACTGGAAGGGTGAGGAGGTTTTCATATCCATCATGGTGATGTCCTCTGTTTGCATGGAAAAAATTTCTGTGTTAACTCACCATCATCATTGCCTTGAACTCCTCTTGTCATCTTTAAAATCCTGTATCTCTGTAGCGTAACATCCTTTCTCCCCTCTTTTGAAGTGCAAGGGGATTCTTTTTTATTTAAAAATGACAAAGCTCTTGGAGCTGAATCACGTTTAAAATCATAACTATAGTCAGGGAACATTCTGCCTCCAAACATCAGGGACTGTCAGGCTGCACAAGGCTGAAATTCCTCCATTTCTAGACCTCAGTTATCACTGTGCACAACGAGCTGGACAAGCACAGGCTCGCAGGAATTGAAAAGGATTGTAGGTATGGCTCTTAAAAACACAAGTGAAGAGGAAACACGATGCTTCCCTCTTTCTTTCCATTTGAAAAAGTGAAAGTGCCCCTAAATTGGTGGAAAATAGTCTTGAAATAAAACAATCGTTTGTCTGCTTTGCCTCCAGGAGATGAGGACAGAACGATTTCCTAAATGCATCTTTATTAGATACAAGAGCTATAAAGGCAATCTGGGCTTATCTGGCAACCTTTATTTAGACTAAAAGGGAATAAAAGAAATGAATAATTTAGGCAATAGAGATGAAGGCAAGTGCTTTCTCATACATATGTGTCTTCTGCCAGTGGAATTACTGTGTTTCTAAGGATGCCTGCTAACACAGGTGGATCACAGACAAGCAAGCTGGCTCTGCAGAAGGGGATTTTTTTGACCAGAGGTTCAGCAGAGGGTTCTGCAGTAGGACACAGCCATCACGAGGATGAAACTGCTTCCAAATACCCTCCCACATGCTGAGATTGCAGGTTGGGCTGACACTGGCTCAGCAGCATCTTCAGGTGGTGCTCTCACTGTAGGCAAGCCCAAATCACCAGTGGTAAATTCAGATTTCAAGAGGTGAGTTGGGATTGAAGTAATTCCTGAGTGTTTCCTCCTGCTGATTTTAAGGAACAGGTGATGGCACAGAGTGTGGATGTACCAGAAATGCTTTGCTGCCCTCAGATACAACCATCTGGCTGGCTGGGAGAAGCATAATTGAAAATAATGGACACTGAGATATGGCCATTTAGCATCATTAGGAAAGCTGTTTTGAAATGGAAACCTCACAAGAACACACTGTAAGGTACAAATGTTATTAAGTCTGAATCCAAGCCCCATTTCTTTTTACATCTTGGAATTTATTACTTTGATCCAGACATCTTATTAATGGCTTGTTTCCGAAGTGAATACCTATCTGAGGCTGCAAATCATACACAAAAACATGGTTGGATATGGGCCAGGAGGAGAGAAATGTCCATAACTCAGCCCCTTCCTGCACCTACAAGTTTAATGCTTGTTTTTCAGTCTCTCTAAAGCACCAGTGCTCTAGGTCTATGTTGTTAGTGTTCGTAGTATTACATGTATTTTAATGTCTTTCAAAGCCACTGGTGATTTTCCTGTGTTTTCTAATGATTAATTTTGCAGCCAGTTAAAGAAGCAACCAAATATCTTGGTCATTTCCAGTTGAATCTGTAAGGGCTGAACTGCTCTGATTATTCTTGCTGTCTAATTTCTGTGGCATCCCCAAGGTTTTTTCAAACCAGCATGGAGAATACCAAATCATTAAGACAGCCTTACTGATCAGGTGGCAATTTTCATTGTTATATGGAAGATTTCTTCAAGATAAATAAAATATATGAAAGCAATACTTTAAAAGGCACAGCCTTTATGAATGCCATAAATCAGTTTCTTTTCCCATATGTTTTTCAAAACAAGGTTGTCCTGGTTATCTCTAGTAGCTTTATGAAGTAGGGGACGCACACCCCCCAACAAAATAATTTATCTAAAATTAAATTCACAGCATGACTAAGGACTTTTTTCTTTTTCAGTAATGAAATGGCAACTGTAGGTGGATTTTGTTGTATTATTTTCAGTAAGTTGGAGTTATACAGAAGAGGCCAAATTGAAAAGCTTGTTCCCACCATCTGAGCACATGGCAGATTGGTGTTTTGGTCTTCATGCTCCTCTTTTCATCCCTTTATTGACATTGGAATTCGTATGCATTTGGGAAAACATGAATATTCCTAAAGTGTTAATATTCAAATATTATGGTTAGAAATAGAAGACATAATTTTATTTAAAAGCAAAACCAAAGGTCTCATCTTGTGGAAAACTGCACGAATTCCATACACCAAAGCTGGTGTAGACAATAGTCTTGATGACTCCAAGAATATCATCCCCATGCAGATCTGAACAGATGGAAACATCTCAGGGTCAGTGGTCTTGTAGGGAAAGTAGGGGCCTTGTAGGAGATTTGGGGTGATCACTGGAGAAAGAGTAGCCAACTGTGGAAGAAATTACTTTCATTAATTTCCAGTCAAGTATTGGAGCAAAATATTTGGGTTTTTCTCACCCAGGTAAAAGAAGAAGAATCTCTATGTGATTTGTTAAGTTAGTGGTGCCACAGCTTAAGGTCTAGTTCACCTCCAGAGAAAGCAAGTTAAGTGTTCTCCTACTAATTTATGAGGATAACAGTACAAAATAAATTCCTGGATACTGTTGAATTGGTGGTAAAGATCCTGAAGATTTCACATGAAATGTTGGAAGGTTCGAGCACACTGGGAAAGGACAATGGATTCTGAACAACCTATTGCAGAGTTTTCACCAGAGGTATCTGTCCTGCCTGTTGTAGTCCCTGCCTGCTCATACAAGCCTAATCTTCTTTCCATTGACAACTCCTGCTAAATTGAGCATTACATAATACTGGCTTGTTAATCTGATGCATTCACAGGCAACACCAGTGATTCATCCTTGAAAATTTAAAGAGCAGTGAAGCGCCGTTACCTGAGATCCATAGGAACATTTCTGGGCATATTATTGGGCTTCAGTTGCTCTTGAAACAGAGATAATAAACACCAAAATATGCAGGGAATTATTTTTTTTTTTCTCAGCCTGTGAGTATCCATCTAAATCCACAGCCAGCCCAAGAATATTGCAGCTTTGTAGGAAATCAATAACATTTCAGCCTGAATAAAACCAAACCTGCTTCTTGTACATGCTCTGGCAGGTGCATGTCAGTGCAGGTAACCTCAGCCAGGCCTGCCAGGCTCAGAAATACTGTGTTTCCTACAGGTTTCATGAAAATAGGTCTCTGCACAGTGGAATCCCAGGGAGCAGGGATGTGCTGGCTGCACCTGGGGCAGCTCCATAAGCTTTAGCTTTGTTAGGTGCAGCATAAAGATTCTGTTAAATGGCACTTTATGAACTGAACATGTAAAAGCAGCTTGCTTTTCTTTTCAGCTCAGACCTGGCATGGATAGTTCTGGGTAACTTTTTAAGTGTCAGCTGTTCACAGAGGAAAATACACCAAAGTGCAAAAGCATTCTTAGGGTTACACCACAATGTTGATTGCCAGACCTGTCTTGAGGACTGAACTTGTTTAAGAGAGGCAGGCAGCTCCCAGCCATGTAATTTGCTCCCAGTAGAGATCTTTCAGAGCCTGAGCCTTGTTCCAGTCAGAATATGATGAAAGATGAAACACTCTATAAGGAAATGCAATTAAAACAATCAGCCCAATGAAACCGAAATCCTCCCAGCTATTCCTTCCTCTGGCTTTCCTTAAACATCCTGTCTCTTTTGTGTTTTGGATAATTGAATTGAAAGCCCTTTGAAATGAGGAGCTGTCTACATTTTGTCTCTTATGTAATACCAAGATCACTTTAGAAAATACATTATTTTTTAGCATTTGTCTTTACTGTCTCTAATGGAGACGTTTGACCCTGGATTTGTGGGAGAACTTTCCTGAGGATGAACGCAGAAACAACAGCGTGAATTGACAGCACATTATATTTTGCCTGAGAGGTTTTAATTTGTTGTGAACTAAGGAGGAGCGTGGGAAATCTCATATGTCTTGCCAGTTGTGGGCATAATAATGCAAAACTGCCCCTGAAAGTTAGACACAAAGTTAGGATGAGGTTGTCAGGTACATTCTCCAGCCCTGGCACAGCTGCCCAGGGCAGTGGTGGAGTCCCCATCCCTGGAGGGATTTAACAGATGTATGGATGTGGCACTTGGGGACATGGGTTAGTGGTGGCCTTGGCAGTGCTGGGTTAATGGTTGGACTCAGTGATCCTAGAGGTCTTTTCCAAAACGAGGATTCTGTGAACTGTGATACCCTCACGACATTTTGGTGAGTGATTAAAAATATATAGGTGGGACACATGGTTTTTTCTTTTTTCAGGGCTTTGCAGAATTTGGGGCTTAAAGAGATGTTCCCCTTATTTAAAAATTGCTCTCTTTGTGCTTAGTCACCAGCCCTGCCAAGCTCAGCTCTCCAGCCTGCCAGACCTCTGTAACAGATGCTGTTGTGCAACAGGAGGGACTGTGATTGAAGTTTCCAGAACAGATTTTAATTGGAAACATAACTTCATACAGTAGCTTGGAATGAGTACAGGGAAAGGGAGGAAAAAAAAAAATCAAACTGAGAGTTGCAAAAGAAAATACCGAAAAAGAAACATAAAAGGGCATTTTAGTGGTGCTTTGTACTGAAAAGCAGTTGGTAGGAAATACTGTGCATATCTGTGAAAAATTGAAGCACACAGCGAGCACTAATAACTATCTGAGACCCTTAAAATGGTGTGGATCTGTATTGCCTTGTGGATTTTCTGAGAGCTGCCATTTCTCATGGACCTCAGCACTGCTGTGCTCGTTTATGCCAGTGAGGACCCCAGCCAGCTTGGCACTGCTGAAATCCAGAAACTTTGAATACTTTGTTTATTTGGTGTTGGGTTTGGCTTTTTTTTTTTTTCCTTTTTTTTCTGTTTAATTAAAATTTAATCAATCTTTTGTTTTGTAGATTGCCCTCCACTTGGTCTGGAGACATTAAAAATTACTGACTTCCAGCTCCATGCCTCCACGGCGAAGCGCTACGGCCTGGGGGCCCACAGAGGAAGGCTTAATATTCAGGTAACATCCATTTTTCTCCTAAGTGGGAGAATGGCTTCAGGTTGTTCTGCTGTATAAAGAGAACCAGTGGATAGTTATTGCTTCTGACTGCTTTGTCAGCTCATGTAATTCAAATGAAGGGGAAACACTGGAATTATAGGAGTGAGTGAGGTTGATGGATAACCTTTAAATTCGTGGGTGAGTTAGAAAAATCTCCAAAACTTAGTGTGCAAATCCAAACAGACCTCTGTGAGCAGGCAAAGGTGGAGGCAGCTCCCTTCCCAGCTGCAGGAAATCATCCCAGCTGCCTTAACAATCAGTCTGGAAGGAAGATCACACAGCAAGTTGCTTTTTTTGCTTGTAGTTAATGACAATGCTTAATTGAAAGTGTGGTTTGAAGTGAAGCCCTTTCCCTAAGGCAGTTTTTCAGTGACTGTGCTACCCAAAAATGCTTCAGTTCAGAAGTCTCCAGCATACACTGTTGTTTAGCTTCTTTTATTTCATGTTAAAGATGTGTTTAGGTGTCTTGCAGGGCCAAATTCCATTTTCCCATACCTGGTGTTCCTGTTTTTCACTTGATTAGTGCTGTTACTTGAATTACAGCCTCTTCCAGACTAAAAATGTTTTGTTGCATGATAAAGTACAGCATTTAAAAGTAAACAGGATATTATCACCAAACCAACAGTGCAAAATCTCTAAAGTTTATTTAATTTATTTGCTATCTCTTATTATTTTACCTTCCCCTTTGACTTTTTTTTTTTCCTCCAGCTGAAGGTGTTTGCTAATTAGGGAACTAGGACTGGGATTAGGAGGGATGAGCTCCAATCAGCAGTGCCATTCCACGTGCTCCCCACTGCAGTGTGGGCTGGGCAGCTGCTGGAAGAGAGACCACTGCTGGTTAAAAAACCCCACCCTGCCTTGTGTGAGCTTGTCTGGGGGGGGAAATACCTTCCTCTTCCTCCTGATTTTTTTTTCATTGTTTGTTTTAATGTATTAAAGTTGCTCAGAAAGCTCAGCAAGCCACTTTGTTGTGTAGCTGCAGGAATGGGAAAGGAAGCTGGTGGTGAGGGGCAGGAGGCCAGCACAGACATGGGAAGGGGCTTTTCCTTTCCCAGACACTGTGCAGTGGGTTGTGTGCGGTGTGAGGTCTCACCTCCACACTTAATCCCTCTGGAGATCCCAGGGAGGTACTTTGCTTCTTTACTCCATCTTCTCTGCTAAGAATGAAACCCTCGTGAACACAAAAATGGTGTGCAGACGATATTCAGACGGGTTCTAGAGGAATGCTTAGTTATTTGATTACAGTTTGGTTTGTCTGGTGGCATAAGACCAAGGACTGTGGTGTAAACCTCAGAATTCCTTGTTGGTTGTGGTTGCTTAGTTTTCATGCTGGTGTTAAAGTTTAATTTATTTAAACACAAGGATGACCATACTGGTTTAGACCAGGAGTCCATCATCACCAGTAACACTGCTTTAAAATAAATTGAGAGGTGGATGATGTTTCCTGTAAATATTGTCCAGAATCTGCAGCAGAAGCCGAGGGAAGCAAGTAGGGGAAAAAAAAAAAAAAGGCCACTTAGCTCTTCCTGAAAACTCCCAGGGCTTGGATTAGACCAAATTTGATCCAAAGCTTTTATCCCTACTGAAAGCTCATCTGTACAATATATACATACAGGAATTCCCTAAACACTTGACCACTTTGGGATGCTACTATGGCTGGCAGTGTTAAAAGTATGGGATTGTCTTTATTTAGATACTGTTTTCTTTGGGATTGCTTAAAAATGAACGACACTAAAACTTTTCAAAGCCACTTGGAATCTGCAGATCCCTGTCACTGGGGTTTCAGTGCCTAATTTTGCCTTTCATGAAGGCTCCTGAATTTCAGTCATGTTTAGAGGGTTTTTGCTTCCTAAACAAGAACAGGTACTACAGGGGGACTGATGCATCAGATGGGTAATGAGGTCCCTGGTGGTTTCTGTTTACTGCTCAGAAGAAAAGGTTGCAGCTTGCTGGGGAGAGGCAAAAGGCACTGGTATTTGTGCTGCTGTGTTTTCATGCTGGTTGTTATATTTTAGCCCTGCACATGGAGAAAAAAAACCCCTTGGCCCAAGTTGGAGAGACTCTTAGAGACTTGTGTGCTCCTGAAGTTCTCTGAACGTCTGTGTGCGTGGTGATGAGCAATTTTATGGGCTGCTGCCCTTGTTCAATGATCTGGATTTCAACACGATATTCATGTGACTGTTGTGTTCCTCCCCAAAATGAGGCAAAATCCTCTCTCTGCTCGACCTCATCATCTGATGAGAAGTCAGCTGAGAAGCTCAGGGCTCTCCCCAGGTAACTGGCACTACCTCAGTTCACAGGGAATTTGCAGAATAATGAAGTTTTTCAAAGGTTTCTGAGGGTTTGTTTTGTGGGGTTTTTTTTTCTGTTTAGATTATTTGAAGCATATGAAATGAAACATTCCATGTGTGCTTTATTCCAAAGAAGGACAGGCTTAGCAGAGTTGGATAAGACCTTCTAGGATCTGCTTCTCTTGTGCCCTTGCACTGTGTGGGACCTGATTTTGCTCCCAGTCCTGTACAGATATGGTGATTAAGCTGGGATTTCTTGTGGAAGGAGCAATGTTATTAGAGCCCCATATTTTGGAGATCTAGCCTGCAACTGCAACAGTGGCACAATCAGTAGTAATTTAACATCATCAGGAAAAATTGTGGTATAAAATAATATTAATCGAGGTGCTCTGCCTTCAGGGATGAAAGTCATTAGTATTTGTGATCAGTACAATAATTAACAGTGGTTAAAACCTGAAATAATAAGTCAGACTATGTTTCTTTCTCTTCCTCGTTTTCCTAGTTGGAGAAATCCAAACAAGACTGAAGATTAACCATGTAATGAAGTCAGGATGCAAACACAGGCATACATGTGTAAGGGAGACCTTGGAGCCCCTTCCAGTGCCTAAAGGGGCTCCAGGAGAGCTGGAGAGGGACTTGGGACAAGGGATGGAGGGACAGGACAAGGGGGAATGGCTTCCCACTGCCAGAGGGCAGGGCTAGATGGGATATTGGGATGAAATCCTTCCCTATGAGGGCAGTGAGGCCCTGGCACAGGTTTGCCCAGAGAAGCTGTGGCTGCCCCATCCCTGGAAGTGTCCAAGGCCAGGTTGGACGGGGCTTGGAGCAACCTGGGCTGGTGGAAGGTGCCCCTGCCCACAGCAGGGGATAGAATTAGATGATCTTTAAGGTCCCTTCCAGCCCAAACCATTCTATGATTCTATGATTGTCTTTCCAGTTCTTTGTTTCACTAGTTCAATTTTGAAAAACTCCCTTATCGAAATAAAAATGAAAGGCAAAATTATGGAAGATCTCCTTTCAGCCTGTGTGCTTTAGTTCCTCCCTGTTGGTACTGGTTGCTATAAATACCTGTGATGAGCAATGCTCCCCCCCCCAAACTTCCTGTGGTAAAATAATATTTATGAACATCCTGCTGGGAATGGAGAAGAATCTAAGCAGATGTGGTTTGATATTTGGTATATTTTTACTGCTGCTCCAGCTGACTTGTGGCAGAAGACTGGTATTTTTCTTCATTTTGAATACATTTTGGCAGTAATATCTTTCTCCTCATTATAGAATAAGGCTCTTAGAACAGTGTAATGTGATTAAGTGTTTATTTTGTCTTGCACGTACATAATTTGGAAGAGAAACATTAATTAAAACACACAGTCATTATTTGTAAAGGAATTGTAACCTTTATCTCAGTTTCTGGGAACATAATAACAGTTGATTTGGTTTAGCTGAATTACAGTTTTCAACTTTCACGCTTCCAGATAACTTATTCCTGAGTGACAGGACAAAAAAGTTCTCCTTTCCTCTATCCAAAAGGTATTTTTTTCATAAGACACTGCATATTGAGAAATATTTTTGCATTTGGCTGCCGGTGAAATACAAACTGGGTTAGACTTTGAGTTATTCTTGAAAATTCAGGCAAGGAAAAAAGGGTTTGCTTAAGACCCAGCCCTTGCTTCCAGTTTTCATTAGCTGCTTCAGTCTCCTGTTTATGAAGATAATTAAAGTTGTCCATGTCATAACTTGAATCTGTTTTTTCCAGTAATTCAATATAGATTTTTTAAAATTCAAGTAAACATCTTATTGAGGAAAGGTATCTTCATCTGTAAAATTTGATAGAATATTTGATAATTGTTCCCATTGTTCAGGAATGAACATTTTTTCTGAAGAAATGTAATAAGAATTCTAATTACTAAATATTTGATTGTGTTTATAAGTTTATTTCATATTTTTTTGAAGTGGCCATACGGAAAATTAAACACATTAAGAAAAAAAGACAGATTTGAAGCTTGAAAAGAGAAGTTGTAACATAAATTTGAGACTCTTTTTCTTCAGGAACATTTCTAAAAAGAACCTCTCATTGATTAAACTTCTCTTTTTCAAGTAGTACTCTGTGCTAATCGTGCACAGACACCTGCTTCTTTTTACCTAGTAAGAACTTCATTTTAGCTTCAAAGCAGCTGATGTCATAAAATAAGAGAGGAGGAAGAAGTAGCAGCGTGGCTCTTCCTTTCTTTTCTTCCTTTCTCCCCTCTCCCCTCTTGAAGACCACAGTATTTTAAGCTGTGGATAACTGAGACTCCCCATAGTTGATATACAACTTAAGCTTGGCTTTATTTTAAATCCAGTTGAAACCATGGAGACTTGAGTAGGTAATTTAGGTGAGGGTTTTTATTTCAGATGAACTCTTTTTTTCTCTCTTCTGCTTCCCTCTTCTCGCTGTAATGTGGAGGAGAGGTCTAAACCCCGACAAGGATCACACCAGTGGGAAATATCCAAAGATGGAACAAGGACCAAGGATTTCAACTGAAGCAGTGAGAGATGTGGGTGCTTGGTCTGCAGAAAGTAGTGGAATTTGACCAGAGTGAAAGGAATTAGCAGGATGCTGTTCAAGGTGCTCTGTAGATCTTAACACTTCCTGGCAAGCAACGGTTTCATAGCCCAAGGTTACTTCAAATTCCATCTTATTTTAGAATGCACTGAAACCTTTTCTTGAAAACGGTTATAACTCAGGTCAGTGATCATATTTGTATCCTCATGTTTTCCTGTTGTTCAGTTGTCCTTGAAGAATTTACCTTACACTGTTAATAGACTTTTTCTCTGTGTCTTGTACTTTGACTTGTGTATAAAATTCACTTCAAAATATCAGAGCTAATGCACAGAAGTAGGTGGCTTAATTTTATTTTGGTAGATGTAGGATAAAAAATAATTTTTCAGCTGCTCTATCTCAAGATTTGAATACCTGAGAAAATGAGTTTTAGAAACTGAGTCCATGCCTCTATTTTGCAGAACTTCCTTCAAATGCCATAAGGATCACACTGGGAAGGGGGATTAACCCCTGCATCCTCTCTGAGTTAGACCCACCCATTGCCCAATTGGGTAGAAACAGTTTGTCAAACTCCTCAGTTTCATTTGGGAAATATTTAAGGATATCCATTCTTGGAATTGCATGGGTGGCAATGATAAATCCACATAAACCACAGATGAAAAACCATAAAAATACATGTAGCCTCAGAGGACCATATGGCAAAGCTTCTTGCTCTTTATGGCAGTATCCAGCTTGGTGCCAATCATCTCCTGGGCTTTAGAAAGAAAATAAATATCTGAAGACCTCAGATTGCATTTGTCATTGAATGCTATTTCAGATTTATTTGGAATACATCTTACCCAAAATACCTTCAGCTGGTTCTTTGAAAATGCTGAGAAGGCTGTTTGGGGGGGGGTTCCCAACATAAATTGGGGTATAGATTGATACTCAAGTTGGAGTACAGCTGGGCATTCTGGAATTTTTAACCTTTGCCACCCTAGTGATGAAAATTAGTAATTCTGGTACTCCAGATTGGTGGGAAGTACTGTAAAGGTTCTATCAGGACACAAGCACAGACAGGTGAACAGACTGAAGCTCAGGATATTCTTTCTAGCTGAAATTTATATGTGAGGGTTCTTAGTTTCTAAAGGGACTTGGCAGAATTTCCCTGCCCGCTTTCAGTAAGGAAATATTTTCATGATAACGGCCTCAAGGGGTCTTCAACTGGTGCCAGAGGAGTGATTGGGATGAAAGATTACTCTGTGTGTTCCTTTCTTTTTCCCATGAAAGACCTCCAGTTCCTCAGTCCTGATTTATAGACAGCTTTGCCTTCTTTTCAGGCAGGTGTTAACGAAAATGATTTTTATGATGGTGCTTGGTGTGCAGGAAGAAACGACCCTTACCAGTGGATTGAAGTAGATGCTCGAAGGCTCACAAAATTCACTGGAGTCATCACACAAGGAAGGAACTCCCTCTGGTCGTAAGTACACGTTTATTTTTCTCCGTCGGATCCTGAGCTTTCAGAGCAAGGAATTCATCTTGTGTTGTGGTTTGGTTCTCCGAGAAAAATTAAAAAAAAAAAAAGAAAAAAAAAAAAAAGGAGTGAAAATTATCTGACATCCAGTAAATGAATGGAGGAACAGTAAGAGGCAAAGTCATTATATACAACGTAAGATGCAAGTTTAAGGGTAGCAAACTTGTATAGTCATTATCTACATCTGGCAAAGGAATCAAGATTCCCTCAGACTCTGGGCCTTTACACTTACCTGGTCCAATTTGCTTGTGTCAGACTTCCTCATTCTTTTCCAATGTTTAACTTGATTAGTTTAAGTACTAGTTCTGAGGGTTTTTTATTTAGTTTAGAATAACCACTGATCTTTCAGACTTCGTAATCCCTGGGCAATCACCAATTGGTATCATTCCAAAGCAACAAGATTTTTAAACGAGCAGTTAAAACAAAGTTTGTAGCTGTACTTTTTTCTTCTAAATAGGGATTTAACCGAAAAAACAATCTAATTCTGTGTGTGTTGACCAGAACTGCAGTGTTTGGTACCAGACTCTTGTGAATTTACTCCTTTGTGACCTGTACCCAGACTGCTCTATAGCACAAGTCCCCTCATTTGTCCTGGCTATATATGAGCGATAAATCAGAGGGCAAGAAAAGGAACTGGAGGTGATGATATGTTTTTTTTCCCTGATCTTTACAGTATTTATTTAGTCTCTTAATTTCTCATTGAGTCTCACTGCATAATGTGAGCAAATAATCCCACTTTTGAAGCTGGACCTTTTGACAAAGCATGCAGGGAATCCATTCTGGTCGGACCTCTCACTTAAGAGTGACATGGAATTAGAGGCAAACCAGAAAAATGATGCTATATCCAAGAAAAAGAATGTTTTTCTCTCCACAGTTTAATTTTCTGCGTGTTTTTTCTTTAATTTCTTTTAACATGGCTGTGGGAGTAGGAGCCTTTTGGGCAAGAAGATTTCTATATTCCACATTGTTCTGTGTTAGGTAGATAATTACTGTGGCAAAGTCTTATTCTCTTCTGTACTCATTCTCTTGACATTGCTGTTTCTATCAACACCAGAGATGCACTGCTTCATCCTGTTGTATTTCAATTTTTAGTTCAGCTCTGTTGTGGGTTTACAGAAGGACTTGACACTGTGTTTATAGCTGGTATTCACAGACATCTTGTTTGGGGTTTTTTTGTTTTGTTGTTTTGGTTTGTTTTTTTTGTGTGTGTTTTGTTTGTTTGTGAGTTTTTTTTTCTTGGTGTTTTTTTTTTTTTTTTGAGTTGTAGAAACATAGAATCACAGAAGGGTTTGGGTTGGAAGGGACCTTAAAGATCATTTAGTTCCAACCCTCCTGCCATGGGCAGGGAGTCTCGTTTTGCCCTTTTTCCCCCTTAAAGACCCCTGAGGATCTCCAGGAAGGGCAGGATTGGTGCTGGGAGAGCAGGTCCAGGCTCCTCCTCGATTCCTACTCTCATTTGAGGAAAACCAGGCCCATTTCTGCCTGATGCAAAGATGTTTTCAACTGGACCAGCTGCACTGTGGAGCAGGTTAATGTCTCCTGGAAAACGTGTCCTGTAAGACTGAACTGTGCCCCATGGATGGACCAGAGGAGTTGGGAGAAATAGTCCCAGAAAGGGGTGATGTGAAAGGAGGGGATCTCTTGGGACTTTCTGTACCAATTCCTCCATCAGCCAAGAAAGTGAGAGGAAAGGGCGGGAAAAAAGTGAAATTCTGTTGTGAAGAAGAGCTGGGCAAAGGGATATTCAGTCCAGACAACAGTAGAGACCATGAGCTTGGAGCTGAAATTGCCTTGGTAGGGGTTCAGAGGCACTGGTGGAAGTTTCAATACGTGTGGTAAATTTGGGAAACAACGACCTGACTGCAGCCATAGGGGTTGCATGCAGTGAATTGACTCTTGTAAACCAGCCCAGGAAAAACAGTGGGGAGGGACTTTATTGGAGTGGGCAAATTCCTTTGTGACTGTTTTGCTCTAATGGGCACCAGAAACAAGGGAGAATCATCAGCTTCCTTCCCTTTACTCAGCTGCTGCCTGTGGTGGTATCAAAAAGGATTGTTTATGATGTGAAAGCTCGTACAAAAAGATGCCATTCTGTTACCTGAGGCACATTCCCAACTTCTTGAGGGTATGTGACAAGAACAGAGTGCTTTCCTGACTGATGGAAACATATGTTGGAGAATAATCTTATTGTAGATAGCAGAGCCAAAAAACACCTCTCTGATCTGTGTTGTATTAGAAGCAAAAAGCCTGCCAAGCAGGGGAGCCAAGGTAAGATCTTTATTTAGTCCAAAGCCTTGGAGACTTTCCCAACATTATATATTAAAAATAAAAATGAAAAATCAAGGCGCTGAGAGAGAGCAGGTTTAGATTGGCTGTTAGGAGGAAATTCTTCCCTATGAAGGTGCTGAGGTCCTGGCACAGGTTGCCCAGAGAAACTGTGGCTGCCCCATCCCTGGAAGTGTCCAAGGCCAGGTTGGATGGGGCTTGGAGCAACCTGAGCTGGTAAAAGGTATCCCTGCCTGTGGCAAGGGGCTGGCAAGAGATGATCTTTAAGGTTCTTTCCAACCCAAACCATTCTGTGATTCTGTGACACTGGGATAAATGCTCAGTTCACCAATGTTGTTATATAATAGGGATAAAGAACCAAAAGAGCAACATTTTTCCTCTTTTCATTGAACAAGGAACTTTCACAAAATTAAAAAGTATACTTAACCGAAAGCCCTGTGTGAGCTCCTGCCTAAGTCAGATTTATACCTGTCCTGGTCCCTTTACTTTCTTGCTGCTGGCTTAATGAGGACACATGAAACGATGAGAGAGGGCAGGCAAGGACACCCTGCTGCATCCTGGATCAGACAGCTTTGACCTTCACTGCAGGGCTGCAACACCTGAGTTTTTAGCTGTCTGGCCTTTGCTTTGCTTTACGTGTGAGGCTGTAGCCAGAGGTATTACACTGGTGGTGGATGCAACCCTTCCCTCCTTTGCAGCAGCTCTGGCAACTGCAGCCTGGTTTTGCTGATGGGCCACTCCAACCAGTGCCAGCCTATTCACATCCACCCTGGCTTATTGGTTTTTTGAGCATTAGAGGCAATGATGGACTGAATTTACACAATGCAAAGAACACAAAAGCACATGGAGTTGCCACTTTCTGTCTGGTGACAGGAGCTGCTTCACCTCAATCCCACTTGGAAAGCTGCTATTCCACGTCTGTCTCCCTGCTGTGGCTCTGCTTGTCCAGCCCAGGCTCTCGTGTTTGAGATATGAGAGCCTGGAGGAGGAAGAGTTGCAGAAACAGCTCTTGAAAACACAGATGACCTGAGAGAAGGAAACTGAGCTGGGTTTGTAATGAATACTTGAATTGTTTAATCATTTCCTTTTTAAGGAAAAACACTTCGGAGTCAAATTTTTTTGCTTGAGCTGCCTGGCTGTGAATTCTGTGATAGTCAGTCACATGGAATTAAAATCTCTTTTTTTTTTCCAAAACTCTTGGACTTGAGGAGTCATTCCTTTTATCAGTTAAAGCAAGCACATGGACCTGAGGACTGTTGCTGCTCAGGTACCTCAGTCATTCTTGGGAAAACTGAAGTCGTGGAAAGTGCTCTTTTACTATTGTAAATGGCAAATCTGTTTAGATTATCCAGAGGACCTGCAGGTGTTGAATTTCACAGAAAAAGTGAGGCCCAGCTGCAAGAACCGGAACTTCTTTTTGATTTTTGCACTGAAAATACCCAGAAGTGCCACAAGTGTTGGTTAATAGCAATAAAATCCAGTGCCTTGAGAATGGGCAGAATATCAGTTCCTTTGTATGGCTGAATACTTGGGGGATAAATTATTACATGTAATTCTTCATATTGCTGCCAGTACAACTCTCAGCTTTATGAACTAAATGTCTTCAAACAACTGTTGGAGGCTGTTGAGTGGGACACTGGATGCATCACTGTGGAATTGTGCCACATACTGAAAGCAGTGATGTGATGCTTTAAAATATGCACTCTCTTGACAGGGGGAAAGAAAATATTAATCACTCTTAGCAGTTTGGCGAGAATCTAAAAGGCAGAGGGAAGATGTTTCCCACAAACCAAACCATCTCTTGATAATTCAACATCATCTTTTGTATCAAGAGAAAACCCACGTGTCTAAATAGAGCCAGTGTGTGCTGACAAGTATTATAGAGCTTCAGGCTGTGTGAATGCAGAGGATGTTTTGGTTTTTAGGAGAGAATACAATGTTGCAGTGAGTAAAATGTATGTGTGGCAATGCATTTGCTTATAATTAACCTTTCAGTCTTGAAATTATTCAGTATCTCTGCATGTCACGGAATGACAAAACGACAACACTGAGAAAAAGCAGGGATGAAATAATCTGTGCAGGATGCTTGAAGTCCAAAGCAAAATTCTGAATTTTTTAGGAAAAAATCAAAACAGACTTAGTTTGCAGTATGTCCTCTTTAAAACCTTCCAGCTCCATGAAAATATTGAAGATATTTTATGCAAGATATTTGTCCTTAAGGAAAAAAATGCAGGGGGGAGTATCTTAATTTTTAAAACCTGATTTGAGTAGAGGTGGGTCTGTAGGTTTTGCAAAATTGAGATAGCTCTTAAAAGCTTTGAGGAGACAACAAACCAGTGGCGTTGCTGCCTGGAGGGAATGTCTTACCTGGTTTCAGACTGACACACTTTTAAGCTGGTCACTTTTGTTCATCTCTGCTGAAGCAACATTTTAACTAGAGGCTGGTGTAGCCCCCAGCCCCTGCTGCCTACCATGCCACTTGTTTGATTTCCTTATGCTGCTCAGTGGGGACAGCAAATAATAAATATCCAACAGATTGGATTTTGTCCGATTATGCTTTTGTTAAAACAAAATACTTCTGATTGAATAGGGGACTAATTTTGCAAAATTTTCATAGTACAGCCTCATCCTCAGCCTTCTTCTCCCTGTGTACTGCAGCC